AGAGGAAGGCCAAAGAACACATTACGTCGAGAGTAAACAGCCTTGTCTGACTCCGGTCCTTACTTGGAATGCGTCTGTCGGCTGTCCTCCATGCACGACCTTGCACTGTAATCCGTTGTATGAGTTCCGGGTAATGTTGACAATCTTCTCAGGAACTCCGTAGTGTCGAAGAAGTTTCCATAATGTTCTCCTATCTACACTGTCGAATGCCTTTCCATAATCAATGAAGTTGATGTAAAGTGATGAGTTCCACTCAACTGATTGTTCGACGATGATCCGTAGTGTTGCAATTTGGTCTGTGCACGACCGATCCTTACGGAATCTAGCTTGTTGATCTCGAAGTTGGGCGTCTACTGCATCCTTCATCCGGTTCAGCGACACTCTGTTGAAGACTTTCCCTGGTATTGACAGTAGTGTAATGCCTCTGTAGTTTTCACATTTGCTCAGATCTCCTTTCTTTGGAATCTTAATGAGGTGTCCTTCTTTCCAGTCCATCGGCACTTGTTCCTCTTCCCAAATCTTTTTGAATAGAAGATAAAGCATGCTTGTGGTTGTTTCGATGTCTGATTTCAGTGCTTCAGCTGGTATATTTTCAGGTCCCACTGCTTTCCCACTCTTGATTTGTTTGATGGCCATCGATGATAGGAACATCGAGTGATATCATTTCTGGTAAGTTAGTGAACAATATAATCAACTATACCAAAAAGGGAAAAGTATGATGAAGAGGTACTTGAAAAATACCGGGAGAATGTGTATCTGTGTACAAAATTAAATTTAGAAGCACCTGGATAATAAGAAAATCCATCAGTAACTGAATCGAAACAAATAAAGGTAATAGATTAACGTATAGAAAGCATGTGATTGGCTAATTATATCTATAAATATATAGGAAAAATTTTAATCTGCAACCGTAACGGAGTGTTGGGATATAATACTGATGTTCACTAATCAGTATGCACTGAAAAGCTGTAGTTGCAGCAGCTTATTATTATTATTATTATTAGCTTTATTCAATATTATATTATTGGTACAATATAGAATTCTCAGCACAAAGTATTTCAACAAGTTTCCGTTTCTTTCTTCTTGGTCGGTCCTCGCGATAAATACTGAGTGATCGCCAGCTAGATGTTAACAGTCCAGTAAATGAATATCTGAATAATGTACATTCTTTTCGTTGTATATTGCCAGCAACAATATTCTCTCTTTTTGAGCTTTTTGTAACTTTGACAACGAAAGGTTGTACACTTTTCAGAAACGCAGCAGAATAGGTTGTGCGGTTAACAGACATAATGATATATTAAAACAAACAACAATAGATAACTTGTCGAAATATCTAGATGGCAGGAACAGGTAGCCCAGATGCTCAAGCAGGTCGTTATAATAATTAAATTCCTATGCATTACTAAAAAATACAGCTCAAACAAAGTAGCCAATACATAAGTTAAAAATTACAGACTGTGTGTGCTGCTTCGATGTCCGGTGGATTCAATAGAGCTGGTCTATTCAAGAACTTCTCAATGTACACCGTCCATCTGCTCCGCTGTTAATGAATTTCAGTTATTGGCTTGCCTTCGTTGTTCTTGACAGGTCTCTCTGGTTTACTATAATTCCCTGCTAGTTTCTTCGTTGTATCGTAAAGTTGTTTCATATTCCATTGTCTTGCAGCTTTTTCCGCCTTCGTTGCTAGTTCTTCCACGTATTTCTGCTTGTCGGCTCTAATACTCTTCTTCACTTGCTTGTTTGCTTCTATGTACTCAGCTTGTGCTTGGACTTTCTCTGCTCGTGTTCGGCTATTGTTAATTGCTGTCTTCTTGTTCTTCCATTCTTTGATCCTATCCAGTGTTTCTATAGAGTTCCATTCCTTATGATGGTGCTTCTTTAGGCCCAGAACCTCTTGACACGTTGAAGTTGATGCTTCTTTGATACCTTTCCAGTTGTCATCCATAGTAGTTTCTTCTTCTTTCAGTAGATCCTGTAAGGCTTGGAACCTGTTGTTGAGAGCTATCTTGAATCCATTGAATTTGTCAGTATCTCGAAACCCCTCCTGGAGTCCCTCCGGGGGCTACTGCCGGTCCCAAGCCTGGATAAAGGAGGAGGGTTGTGAATGGGTTTAGCGTCCCCATCCCGTAGAAGACTAAGTCGCTAAAAAACGCTAACCACAATCCTGAAGGCCAAAGGAAAAGAGAAGGACCAAAGAACACATTACGCCGAGAAATGGAAATAGACATGAGAAAAATGAACAAGAATTGGATGGAACTAGAAAAGAAGGCCCAGGACAAAGTGGGTTGGAGAATGCTGGTCGGCGGCCTATGCTCCATTGGGAGTAACAGGCATAAGTAAGTAAGTAAGTCAGTATCTCGAAAGAAGGCCGTATTGAACTTTTGTAGTGCTTTTTGTCGAGTTGTCCAGTTTTTCTTTAGCTTCAGTTTTAAACTGGCCACAACTAAGTGGTAATCTGAAGCTATATCAGCTCCTCTCCTGCTTCTCACATCTTCCATTGTCCTTCGGAATTTTTTATTGATGAAGATATGATCCATCTGGTTCTTTGTAGTGTTGTCCGGTGAGATCCATGTAGCTTTGTGCATCTGTTTGTGTGGAAATATTGTGCCTCCTATGACCGATTTGTTTAATGCACACAGATTTGCAAATCTTTCCCCATTTTTGTTTTTCTCTCCCAGTCAGTCCATGTCGTCCCATGATATCTTCATATCCGGTGTTATCTATTCCAACTTTGGCATTTAGATCACCCATCAGAATGCTGAGGTTCTTTCTTGAGCACTTCTCTATGATTGACTGCAGCCGCTCGTAGAATTGATCTTTGATGTCGTCGTTGCTATCATTGTTGGGTGCATAACACTGGATGATATTCATTGTGATCCCCTCCTTTGTTTTGAATGATGCTTTGATGATTCTGGATTCGTGAGATTCCCAATGTGCGGCGTTAGAGCAGATCAATTTATACTACTACTGTCCAAATCGGGTTGATCTTTTACTAACGGTCACAGTGATAACAAAGAAAGGCGATTTTTCAAGTGTGAACACTCAAGACATCATGCTTGTGTCATTAACGGACTGTTTTAACAGCGTTATTAATCCGTATGGAGGTCCCGGTAGACATATATTATCAGAATCAAAAATCTGAATTTCGTAACAATAGACTATAACACAAATAAATCTTGACACTGTGGACCATTGTTGAACAATCAGTCGTGTGTAACCTACCATCATCAACTTCGAGAGTTATCCAAAATCTTTCTATCGAATGGTCAGGAAAACCTTGTGAAAATCACTATTCGACCCTCATGAGTTCCTGAGAAAATCGTTATCGTTTATAACTCTTACGGGGATTGAACTGTAACGTAATACATGGAGAACACTGCAAACACTAAGATCCAAGTGTTTGATGTCAACACATTAAACGTCCTAACAAACCAAGATTTCTTCAACTGAATCGAGCTATTGCTTTCTGCTCCTATGGATATAACTCTTCATTGAATGACTCATAATAAATGATTTCATCAAGGTAAACTGTTTGTGCATAAATTGTTTCGCGTTAAATCAATGACAATAAATTTCATCAAAAGTACTAAATACCTTAATAATCCACCTAATCAATATACACTCAAAAGCCTCTCTGGCACCAAGTAACGTGCCACTTAACATAGAATAGTTTACGAATGCAACTGCCATGTGCATGAGAATCGGTAAGAATACCCTTGTTAAAAATTTTTAAATCTCTATATGCAAAGGATCAAACCAGTCAGCAATAGTTTACAATAGATAGTCAGAGAGCAGACATGATCAATCATTCAAAGTTTTTACTTTGATAAGAGTCAAATAAATGGGTTTGATTTATGAAGGATGTGCTCGAGAACAAAAAAATTAATAGTCGAATTGCATCCGCCGTAGCCCCGTTAGTATTCCACATCAATAAAATGATGTGCCATAAGTAATCCTCTAGTTTGACTGAATCCCACTTTCGTTATGTTTACTATTCCATGAGGCCAAATAAAAACAAGAAAAACCAACGCCTAGTTTTTAATTATTAGCAACTACATCTTCACATTACATCTAAGGATATTAGTTGAGTGTTCGAGTGTATTTGCCCTTTGTTTCGTGCATACATCGCGCTTGTCAATACAGTCGTGCAAATCATGGAAGAAGGGTAGTTGAACCCAACCGTTTTCTATATTTTTTGCCGAGTTAAAGTTTCTACAACCAGACAACAAATCAACTCGTAGAATAAATACTAAGAGTCTAACTTATGGAGAATTATGCGACAAAATCTATGGTTTTGCATGCGTAATTTGGTATTTTTCTCAATAAGTAAGCTGCAGTAACTCCCGGCATTTCCATCACTGATATTTGCTTGACAAAACCTCTATATCATGAGTGGTTTATCTAATTACTTGTACCACTCTGTGGTATACATATATAATATCTAAAGGCTGTGAAATCCCTACCATAAATCATCGATATAAGCCATTGTTAAGTAAAACTTAACTGTTACTTATAAAAGCGACGTAATATGTGTGAACACTTTGGAAAGTTCTAGCGATGCCCCAGAGATTGAATTCAGTCACTTTTAGGGAATAAGTTAGAATTATTTCCCCAAATAGGCCAGTTTCTTCGTGGAGCGTTCGAATTCTGACCATTGGAGTGCAGATTTAAAACCTCACCACTTTCATTTCGAATAGTACTTTCACTACTTTAAACCTAAAGTGTGACTGAAAGCCGAGTCTCTTTGTTTGTTGTAACAAGTCCTTATTGTCGTTCCGATCAGGCTTACCTGTGTTGCAGTTGTCAATGTTCAAAGATGACCATGTTTCTCTCAGATGAAGTAGGGAAAATATGATGAATATATTTTGTCGCAATCTCATTTGTACCTGTAGGTTACCTAGTTTGCCTAATATTCCTGTTTTTCATCGATGCATCACAATATTTGTCACTATGTAATCCTTTCATAACGATTTTCCGTTTATACTCACTGAGCTCTCTAACTTGACTACTGTATACGGTAAGACGAACTAGGTAATACGCTCATAATTATTTCACTGATGAACGGCAAAAGGGGTTACAATCGTTAGTGAGTTAAATAAAAACTTATGACGAGGGCAGTGTAAAAATACAATTTGCTAATTGTTGAAAATATAAATACCGATCCCCAAAGATTAACTTCTGAAGTCTCATTTTTTTCGTCTTACCTTAATCTCTTTAACCACCATCATATCTTTGACCGTGTTGATCATATGGTGTCATACCTCAACAAATCTCACCTCATCATCTTGTAGTATTCAAGTATGCAGAGCATGTCCCTTGATGTACAACAACTTAAAATGTCTATCTAATCAAAATATTGTTGAGTCACTTGATACTATTTCTATGATCTGAGCTCAACAGGTTTGGCGATTATTATAATTTTTGCTACAAATCGCTTATAAGTATCAACTAGTTTAATATATAATGCTTAATTCAGATGTGCTATTCCGAGTGTAAACTTTGAGGACCTGATAAATTAACAATTAAAATTTATTTATTTATATGAACACAAATATTTGTACAAAGGGGCACCAAATGCATATGTGCCACACAATAACAATGAGAACGTGAAGAGATAGAGTGTAAAGTGCGTATAATAAAAGGAGAACAATAACAAGCAGGAAATAGTGTGTGAAAATGGAATAATAACAGTAGGAGAGGCAGTGCAGTTAGCGAAAATATAACCAAAAAGCTTCCATTCAAAGAATTTAAGTTCATTTTTTTATGAAGAAAGTAAAATAAAGTTGCAACAGGGTCACCACTGGCTTCTATTCCGAGCCATATCTGATAACGTCTCTAGCCACTGTGTCCTTCCATCTCTAGGACCCCAACCAGGGGGTCGTGAAAGATCGACAGAAGCCAGACCTTAACAACGGCACTAAGTTATACACTGACCAACTCTCCGCTTTTCCCAACCAGTCTCAGCGTCGCCAAATAATGCACGATATGGAATTCTGCGGGACGACATTCGTAGCACATGTCCAAGCCACCGAAGTCGGTATTTCAAGATAGTGACATCAATTGAATTACCGTCGCTTTGCCAGAACAGACGATGCCAAACCTTTGCATTATTAACATGATGTTGCCACTGGGTGTCAGCAATCCGTCGGTTACAACGATGATCAGACACAGAGAGTCGTCTAACACCGTAAACTCGGAGAGGCTAGTATTCACAAACATAGAGCAAAACTGCTCTTACCGACGCGTTGTAGATCTGACCTTTTACAGCCAGACTAACATCACGAAGGCGCCAAAGATGGCCCAGATTATCACAAGCCTCTCTGGTTTTCACTATACGTGAATCGACCTCATCACTAACGCCAATACCAGCACTTAAAAAGAACTGTATATTCATGTGTCGTGCTCGACTCACAAACTAGTTAGTTTTTCGCATCCTTATTTCTTTACCGGGGTTAAACTCGAAACTTTGGTAAAAATTGTTTGAGATGCTGGACGGTGTTGAGTCTTATTGAAGCACTTTTGGCTTCAGCGCATATAAAAGCTTTTCTAAACAAAAACTACCAACACATTACTCGTTAATTATTCTGATTTAGTTGACAGGTTCGTGTACCCAACATAAAGTGGCGCACGATTGCTGACATAGCGTCAGGTTACAAGTTCATCGAAACGGGGTTTAAAACTGGGACCTAGTGGTTGGAATGCAAGCAACCTACTATATGAGCAACCGTATTACAGCATCATACGCCAAGACTCGTTTGAAGCAGCCGGCTAAGTAAGAGTTCCAATGGCGAAGACACTTTCGATTTTGCACCCAGGATATCGTAATTTTTTCAAGTTATTCACTGGATTGCTACTAATGGTTAAGATGTATTTGAATCTCAGTAACTGTGGTTGGTACACATCTTTCGGAAGATCGTTTAATGGTATTACTTGTTTTATTTACGTTCAGTTAAAAGTAGTCGGAAACCTGCCATCCAGTCTTACTACGTGTAACACTTCTGATGGCTTGATTAACAGAAATGTCGTTCCGGTCAATTGTGCCTCCGCCCGACTTTTTATCAAAAGCCGAGTTCAACAGACCTTGTGGTCGGTCACCAAATAAAATCTCTACTCTGCTAACTAATGTGCAGCGAAGAAATGTTCAAACACTTGCTCCAACAGAATCTAAAGACCTAACATTTTTTCAAATGGCTGCTCAGGGTGAGCTGTTGTTGCTTCAAAGGGAAATAGAAAGTCGAAACTTCAATATAGATGTCCCAGATAATCAGGTTAGTAGCAAAGTAACGCAACCTACTTAAATATGTGACAGACCAGTACATGCATGTAAAGAAAATTCTTAAAATTAACACTATCGTCTACATCTTTTTCGTCAAACTCCTAACTTACTCTGAGTTTAACTGTTAATACCCTACAGTTTTTCTGAGTAGTTCAAATTAAAAGGTACAGTATTCTGGCCACCACAGTTTAGTGAAATCATAAAAGAGATTTTGACGGAGTTATTAAGTGGATTATTTTACATTCGTTTTGATATTATGGCTTATGTACCAAGAGCCTATATATATACTTTATCAACAATATGTAGTATTGTTGCCAATGTTGATTTGGACACGCTATGCGACCAACAAACCAAGCAAAAGGTTAGAAGTATATCCCGTTCTGCATTCCCAAACAGACTATATTTAGATTTTTCCAATGAGTCGCTTTACACGCGTTCTAAGTTCAATCAGCTTTTATTACAGTTATGCATATACTTGCACATACTTACTATTTTTTCCAGCAAGTGTTTTGAAAAAGTTTGGTACCGTTTCCCTTGATTTTGGTATACTTAGATTATTTCATATGCCTAGAATTTGACTACTATCATCCATTCAGTGGATTTAAAACTCGATTCAAATGACAGTTTTAAGTTACATTTCACGATAACATTTACATGGTGTATTTAGTTTACAATCATATAACGGATAAGTGCTTGTTAGATCTACTTTTGTGTACACATTTCATAGGTTTTCTGGGGTTTTAGCCGCGGGTTCTTATAAATTGACATGAAGTCTTGATCAACAACAAAACACCAGTACTTTCGACACATACTGAACCTCAACCGTATAAGAGATTACTGTGGAATTCAGACGTTCTTTTGGTGGTTTGGCTTTGAGGCCGGGAGTTCCAAATTGCAGAATTGGTATAATAGTTGCTCATTTTAATCCCTTAGTAGGGATATGTTTTGACAATCCAAGTCGACAATATTGCATTTCAATCGAAATAGATGCATGGAGTGAGATGAAGAAGTTGTCGCCACTAGAAGTATATATATGACAAGGTAGGAGTTCATGAGAAATAAAGCTAGACACCGACGACACGACAATTCAAACCATTTAAAATTGAATTAACTATATGAGATATTTTAAAGATTCAACATGGTGGAAAAAACGAAGTATATTATTTCACCAGTAAAATTAATCATTGATTCACTTTACAATCGTGCACGTATTTATGATTACTTCTATCAGTAAAATAAATTTTTTGCCCTTGATAATAAATTTATAAAACATCTTGTTTACACAACTAATACTTATGCTGAGCATTAAAAAAACAACGCAAAACGAATTCACATTATCTAACAAAGTTTGGTGTAAGCAATGCTACTACTGCTAATCTGATAGGAATATTTGAACCTTGGATGTCTTCTCAGTTCTCGGACCAGGAGCTAGCAATACCTGTGATGTCTTTGTTTCGCAACGACAGAGAAACGGGAATTGGGAGTGGTGTAGCCGTATACATACGATCTTGCTTAGAGCTACACCAAGTTCATAACCTCGAGTTAAACAATCTTGAAGAATCCATATGGTGCTCTGTAACATTATCTACTACTTCGAGGTGCCTAGTCGGAGTCACATATAGGAGGCCCACTGCCGACATTGAGTATGCTGGAAGGACTCTCCCGCTCTACGCGCCTAGGTTTCACTCATATCCTGATTCTAGGGGACTTCAATCTCCCTAGAGTCAATTTCGCGAAACGTACGTATATTGGAGGTGAAAACTCAACTGGAACTCTGTTCTTCAACCTCATTGAGGATCTGGGATTATTCGAAAATGTGAAGTCGACCACTCGTTGGAGAAACAGTCAGACACTGTCGCGCTTAGACTGTGTACTTACAAACGAAGTATTTCTATTTGACAACCTCTCAATCCTGGCTCCCCTGGGGAAAGGCGATCACACCGTCGAAGCCTTGAGTTTCTTCAGCAAAACTGAGCCAAGATGTCCCACCAACAACTTGCTCTGAAATTTCAGACGGTTGGACGTGTCAGCTTTACAGGACTATATACAACAGGTGGATTGGGATGTTCACTCCCAACTCGATGTGGATGCTTATTGGGACTTCTTACTGCACACGCTATTATGTGCTACAAAGCAATCAGTTTCTTAAACGGTCCTCAAAAGCTACAAGGAACCTACAATCTTCAAGAACCGCACTCTTCGTTTGCTAAATCGCAAAAGACACTGTCGGGTAGAATACAAACGAACTGACAACAACGGCGAGTACAGGAGATACAAACATATAAGAAACATATGCACGAAGTTTATAAGAGAGGACAGGCTTCAGTACCAGACAAAGCTTATGGATAAATTTGTCTCTAATCCGAAAAGCTTATTACGTTATGCAGCCTCTCTTCGGCAAGCAAAAACTGGGCTTTCCCAATTGCTAGTTCCTAACTGCCTGACCATTAACGACGGCGACGCCACTAACCTTCTGGCTGAACAATACTCTCGGACATTTCAACTGACCCATATCAACTAAACTGAAGAAAGCTTCATCTGCAACTCCCAAGAACTTTCCGTAGTGAACCTGAGCGCTGACTTGGTGTTCCGGGAACTGCAGCCCTTAAGAATAGACACTTCTCCTGGCCCGGATATGGACCATTCTGCCGTACTGAGGGAAGCAGCATCAGTCTTGGCAACGCCGCTTAGCGTGATTTTCTCACACTCGCTAAGTCGAGGAAAACTACCGGAAAATTGGAAGCTGGTTCACATTACACCAATTTTCAAAGGAGGTCGACGCAGCGAACCTTCAAGTTACCGACCGGTGGCTCTTCTCTCAATACCTTCAAAAATCATGGAGTCCCTGATATGCGATGGTATAAATAACTATTTACTGTCCTTAAATTTCTTCCCACCCCAACAGCATGGTTTCAGGAAGGGTTACTCTTGTATAACCTACAGATGGACAAGCATCCTCGATCGCAAGGGGAAGGCTGATATCATGTACCTAGATTTCTCAAAAGCTTTTGATAAGGTTAACCATACATGTCTTATCGATAAGCTCAAACGATTAGGTATCAGACCACCTCTAATCGATTGGCTCACTTCATACCTGAAAAATTGACATTTTAAAGTCAGGGTTAATTTCACTTTATCTCAGGCTATGGAATGTCCTAGTGGGGTCCCCCAGGGCTCAGTACTAGGGCCTCTTCTCTTCTTGATCTACATAAATGATCTTCCTCAACAGGTGACGTCAGACTTATTACTTTATGCCGACGACGTGAAACTTTGGAGAGAGATACGCAACCAAGACGATATACAGGCACTTCAGGAGGATCTGACTCGACTTCAAAGTTGGGCAGACGATAACGGACTTACCTTTAACGCTTCAAAGTGTAAAGTAGTCCATCTGCGACATGTCGCAGATTACAGTTACAACTTAGGAAACTCCTCTCTAGTAGTATCCCGAGTCGAAAAAGATTTAAGAGTCCTGGTGCCCAACGATTTAAAGTCTTACGCTAACTGTGACAAAAATGCCTTCCGAGCAAACCTTGCACTGGTAAAATTGAAGAGCATTTTTGGCCAGTTTGACAGAAGAACATTCCATGTAATCTTCGATAGTTTCATCCGTCCCCATTTAGAGTACGGAAACATAGTATTTCCTCCCTCACTCCAAAAGGAGAAGAACACTCTGGAGCGTATCCAACGGCGAGTCACGAAATCAGTTCGAGGACTCAAATTTCAACCTTATGAAGAGCGCCTCCAATAACTTAACCCTTACCTATTAGAGTATAGGCGTCTTAGAGGTGACCTTCTAATGGCTTACAGTATCCTTAACACTTCTGGACATCCTCTTAAACACCTGTTTAGTCTTAGTTCCAACACTAACCTAAGGGATAACACCCAGAAATTGAAGATACAACTTGGCAGAACGGACTGTGGACACAACTTCCACTCCTTAAGAGTTGTGAAATGCTGGAATTCGCTGCCAGCCGGACTAGCCCAAGCGACTTCCCAGGAGTCCTTTAAGAGATAACTTGGTTTATTCCTAAGGATTAAGGATAGTATCATACAATGATTGACCAATTTCTTTTTCCTCTTTCATTGTTAACATACCTAGGTTCCTGCCTGGAGGTTTTGGTGATCCCCTGCTAATAGACACGGAGGCCTGTTAAGCGATAGCTTCTTCTAATCAGTCCACAACTATTTGAACCATTTGAACCATTTGAAGGTCATACCACACTTCTGCCGTATATACGGCGTTTGAAGTTCATCCACGCTTACTGTTTGGATTTATACCACTGATTTGTATAATAAACCTTTGCAGTTTCAATGGGCGTGGGAAAGGGGATCAAACGCCAACAAAACGGTGTTCAGTTTAAATTAGATTTGAAAGTGAAAGAACAAATGCAACGAGACCAACTATTTCTCTGGAAATCACCTTTACTTACACTCTATTATTTCTTCTTGGAGTGTATATTCAGATTTGCTCAGCTGCGCTTTACTGTTTTGCAAAACAAAACTAGATGTGTTTTTGTTGTCAGCATAATTTTATTACTGGTTTTTTTGGACTACTTGGAAGGTCCTCATTCTCATGTAAGCTGTTAATCTAGTTCCGTTATCTTTAGACTTTTGGCCGCATGAAATCTACTTTCTTATGGTGGTCGTGGTGGGTTTGGCTTGGATTTCTATCATCATGTGGATTTGGTACTGGTCTACACACTTTCGTTTTGTATCTAGTAAGTTAATTTTTATTAAACAATAAACTTGTTGATAGGGTCCGTTTATAGCTGAAGTCACGATGAGCGCATATGAATGTAAAACACTTGATTTTCCTCGTCCACCCTACCCGGATAGAATTGTATGTCCGGATAATCCAAATCCATTTGAAAAAATTACGTTTTGGAAAATTATGCGGAAAGTGCAAATGGAGTCAGTCATGTGGGTATGTTGACGAAGTGATAATGGATCGGTCAGTTTTGACCCCTTATTTATGTTTCGATGCTCTCAATTTATGTTTAACATCTAGTTGTTTTTTGTCTCTAGAGGACAAGTAACTAAATGCATTTTTTAGTGTTGAAGTCAGATTAAAGTTTGGGTTTACTTATCGTATATCGCATTGTTGACTGTATATACGATCCTGAACGCTTTGTTCAGAGCTCTGAAAGTATGGAGGATTAAAGTACTCAAAACAATTTCAGCATCTGCCCAACAGTTGGTGTCAATTAGTCAGCTACAACGTAGGACCGGGCACATATATACATCGGTCCACCACATGAGCACAGCAAAATGAATACCAAATTTATAAAAGTAGTTACTTTAATGATAGTAATCTGCAAAAGATTGTGTATAAAGATATAATACAGGGAGAAAGAATTAGTTCGTAGAAATAAAGGTATAAAGCAATTTAAATCTCATAGTTTAAGGGAAGACGAAGAGTGTATACGCCTTGACAATTGTGATCGATCCTGAGCCATGTCACTCAGAGTCTCCATCTGTTAGTCACGATGATCACGCGAACCTCAAATAAGTAGTCTGCACCTACCAACATGGTGCAGACCAGAGGTTAGTGACTTTATAGGATGATGCCACATTTTGGTTTTACCGCCCCCAACTTTCTTTCAATCATCCCCAACACTAGTCAGCATCGCGCGTCGTGGTGATCGGTGTTCAGGCATACGTAACACATCCTAACCATCTCAGTCGATGAAGATCCACAACCTCATCAACTGATTTACCATTATTCACTAATACCTTGCGTCTAACCTCACTATTACTTACCCGGTGATCCCAGCAAATGCGAGCAGTATTTCTAAGACATCTGTGATCGAATGCTAGTAAATTATGGTTATCTACTCTTAATGCCCGCGTTTCACACCCATAAAGTAGAACAGAATGAACTGCTGCGCAGTATACTCGTCCCTTAATCGATATACGAATATCTCACCCTCGCTATACGTGGCGGAAGTTGGCAAAAACCAAACGATCTTTCTGAATCCGTGCTGAGATTTCGTCAGACACCAACCCATTAGGGCTGATCAGACTTCCAAGATAATTAAAGTTGTCAACGCGTTCAAATACTTCACTCCCCATCCTTAGTTCAGGTGTTAACGTATGCCAGTCCTGAAGCAACAACTTGCATTTGAAGGGAGAGAATCGCATCCCAAACATCCTGGCATTGTTGCTCAGTGCTTCCAAAGGACTGCATTTTATCAGTTTCTTCAACAAACAGGACTGTTATCTGTGTATTATAAGTCGATAAGTGGACCTCTTGGAAGGAGATGAATTCCTGAAAATCCAGTCAACGAAAACGTTATTTCCAACCTAAGTTTGTGATTTCGACGTAA